CTAGCAGGTCCTTGAAACATCCCATAGGCAGGGCGGGATAAAACAAGCCACATTTGAGGGTCCTGGGGATCGAGTTAGATGAAGGGCACATAAGGCTTATCCCGGGCTTTCTCACGGTAACCCCCTCCTGCGGTTTGCTTAGACTAACCCTAAAGTTTGAAGTGTGCCAGGAGGCTTCTGAGCAAGACATCTGAGATTTCGTCCTCCGCCTCAGGCATGGCAGCTGGAGGCAAAATGCAGCACTTGGATGCTGGCATACCATTCAGAGAGTTTTCCTTTGCAGGCTTTTGGATTGTACCCTTGAGTTTGGTCCCTAAGCTGTGGAATATGGTCCTTACTACTGGCAATTGGGACCCCAAAGCCAGGGTCACAGACATTAAGGGTACAAACTTAAAGTATTTGAGCCATGAAGGATCCAGGGTTTTTACCTGGAACCATGGTAGCGTTAGAGGATTCTACGAGGATGATTTTGCAAAACTCAAGCGAAAGTGCAGCTGGCCCTGGGCTAATCCCCCCCTAATATTACATAAACCTCCCCACCCCCCTTATAGTAAACACTCCCATTAGGCGGTATATTAAAATCTATTGGGAGTATTTAACATTACGGGGGTGGGGGAGTTTAATATTAGGGGAGGGGATTATTGCTTTTTGTAGTTGGCATGCCGACTATGATATTATGAGGCTGGGAACTTGGACCCCAAAGTGGCTCGGCCAAAGGCCTAAACTTGGCCAAGTTATCATTGGCAAAGTGCACGGAAAGGATAATCTATTGTTGATCCAGAGAGGGGTTCTGACAACGATACGCCCAAGCACCGGCACAGCCGACACTTCAGATCAGAAAGGAACCGGACAACGAAGCATGCTTTACAATTTGAAGTCCATTTCTGGCTGATTGGTTTTTCCTGCTCAAAAATATACTTTGACAGCCGCACCTTCAAGCAAGGCAACTACCTGCACCCTGGGACCTGGAGCATAAGCCCTTGCGGCCTCATGTACTTTTTGGTGTTGGTATTACCGCAACAGCCTGATTAGTAGATCTATCATCTACTGCTTGTCGGAACTTCTACTCGGGTGCTGCGTGGTTTATCCTGATAACTTCAATCACTAAAGATCACTCCTGCGGCTGCTGCTGCTGCTGCTGCTGCTGCTGCTGCTGCTGCTGCTTCTGCTCTTCTTCCTCTTACTGCTCCTCCTCCTATTCTTCGTCCACATCTTCCTGCTACTGGGCTTTTTTTCGGGGTGACTTTGGCAGGTGCATGCATGGCATAGCTTTTACATGTGATATTGACAATATCAACGGTATGGCTTCTCCTCCACTATTCTTGGGCTTCTGGTCTCATTGAAGCTGCTAAAATACTTTTCGTCTTCATGGTCTAACCAGCCAGGATGATAAAACGAGATAATACCAAGCATGAAAGGTGCATGGGACCAAGAGTCTTCGTCTTCATCCCAAACCCTAACCCACCTTAGGTTTAGGGTTTAGGGTCACTCTTCACAAAGTACGCTCAGATCCTGGACCAATGACCTTGAACCCTTCAACCATAAATGCTCGGCCTCGAAGCCTTTCAACCCAACACTGAACTGTTACTCTCAGCCCTGAACACTAAGTAGTAGTTTCCATCTCATTTTCCATTGTAACCCTGTATACCCCTATACTAAACCCTAAACCCTATACAACCCCATTATAGTTTTTCCACTTTCTTCTCCATTATCCCTGTATTGCCCCAATGTATACCCTACAATTGCTATATTAAACCCCTATAGGGCCTATATTCTCCCTAAAACCCTCGAGAAACCCTGAGCTGTTACCCCAAACCCTAAACCCTGAACCCCAAAACCTAAAAAACCCTTGAGAACCCTGAGCTGTTACCCCACCTCCGATGTGATACCGCGCTTGGAATCCCTCATAGCCAGGCCCATCACCTCCCAATTCTGGCGGGCTATAGGGGGCACACAACGTTTTACGGCGTTGAAGGCCTTTAAGCTTTGGGGTTTAAGGCCTCAGAGTTTGGGATTTTAGTGGATTTAAGGTGTGGGCTTTTCAGGGGTTCCGGAGACCTAGGATTGCAGGGTTCAGGGCTTGGAGTTTCCCAAAACTGAGGTACTCTGCGGACTGCAGGGAACGGTAGGGATTGCGGGTTTTATGGCTCAACTTTGAGAAGCACCTACTGGGTACCTCGCAGGTAAGGAAAATGTGCTGATTTTTTGGTTACTCAAAACCCTGACCTCTGAATCCCAAAGCTTAGACCCAATCCGATCCCTGAGCCCTGAATTCTCAAACCAAAATTCCAACACCGCCTTCTTACCCTCCCCCACCCTTCTTCCTGTATAACCCTAGTTTCCATTCTGTTGTCCATGCTCTTGTCCGTTTGATTCTGAATTATTGAGGAAGTATCCCCTAAACCTAAACCTTCAATCCTA